AAATCTTTCGCCACCGAGATACCGACGGGTACCCGGCGAACCTTGTTCCCAGGCTGAGGGACCGAGACGCAGAGCTCTTGCGAAGGCGATTATTTTTAACTGCGTGTCTTTGAAACTAGGGTCACGCATATCGAATAGAAAGCGATGAGGTCGTACCCAACCAATTGGTTGCTCAAAGTCCATGACTCTGGATCGCCTGCCCGACCCTCTGCTTGGAGAGCGGCTGTTTTACTTCTTCTTCTTTCAATGCAAAAAAAAAAAAAAAAAAAGGAATCGGCGTGCACGCGCTGTTTCGCAGCAGCAAGCACGTCGCAAGGAGCGTGAGAGCGCTAACAAAGCGCTTCTGTGGCGCTAACAGAGCGCTTCTGTGGCGCTAACAGAGCGCTTCTGTAGCGCTAACAGAGCGCCACACCACGCGCTAGGAATCGCCACATGAGCGCTCCTTGGAGCGCTCACGTAGCGCTAACTTAGCGCTCCGCTGTATGTGTGAACCGGCCCTTACAGTGGTCAACGGCAAGCATCGAGAAACAAATATGAAAATCACATTCAGTAGCAGCTGAAGGTATCGTTAACAGAAAAAGAAAACAAAACAAATAACGTTTTATGGAAATAATGCATCATATACAAAAATATCCACGCAAGTCTTTGAAAGTCAGGTTTTCAAGGGAAACATTACTACTGCACAAAGTATTTAACAAATTTGGAAGAGTAAATTGAAGCATTTGAGAGCCATAGTTCGTTCGCTGGGTAACCATCTTCCACTTTTTCGCGTGACGAGTAGAGTACACTGGCAAATTTTCCTCCAACAATGCAAGATTTCGTAAGAAACATGGGCCCTTTATTCTTTCACTCTTAAAACTGGTACAAAGTCGATATGAATACAACATCAATTATCCTATAGGTTTTAAATAATTCAGCAGTGTGAAAATCAAAAGGTACATTACCTATACCTCTGAGTAATTTCTTTTGTATACTATGAACAGTTTTTCAATATTTGTTAACGTTGATGTTCCCCAAATGAGGTAGCAGTAGGCTAGGTGGGAGTAAAACAAAGAGTTATAGATCAAGAGTTTCACATTTGTTGGCAATGTGTAACGGTAGCGATTCACAATCCCTACCACGCGAGCTAGTTTTGGAATAATATAGTTTATATGGCTATCCCAGGACATATTTTCACTAAAAAATACTCCGAGAGTTTTAAAACAACTGACTATTTCAATTCGAGACGAATTAAAACGGAGAAGCTTAGACAACGCCACAGGTTTATTTTTTGGACGAAAAATAACAGCTTTTGTTTTACTACTGTTTACTGTCAACGAGTTACTATCACCCTAAGATTTAATTCTAGAGAAAGTTAAGTTAGCCATATCGATTAGCTCATCAGCGGTTTCGGAGGAAAAAAAATATGCTTGCATCATCAGCATACATTAAAAAGTTTGCCCCCTTATTGATGTTAATTATATCATTTATGTACATGTTAAAAAGGAATGGCCCTAGTACACTACCCTGTGGAACGCCTGACGTAATAGGCTTAATAGTGGAGGAATTACCATTGATGGATACATATTGCTGTCGATGCTCTAGATAAGATTGCAGAAGTAATAGCGCCTGCCCACGGATACCGTAAACTTCAAGCTTTTTAAATAGGACCTTATGACTAATACAATCGAACGCCTTGGTAAAGTCTAAATACACCCCAAAACCAAGTTTTTCTTTTCAAAGTTTTTTAATATAAATTCTTTTTGACTAAGTAAGGCTCTTTCAGTTGAGCAATTATTTCTAAAACCAAACTGCGAGGAAGTAACAAGGTCATGTTTATTTGAAAAGTCTACCAAACGGCGATGAATTATTTTTTCTAACGCTTTAGTAAAAACGGGCAGTATAGAAATGGACCTGTAGTTCCCCAACTCATTCTTATCCCCTTTTTTGTACAGAATGGTTACTTTCGCTACTTGCATCCTTCTTGGAAATACACCAGACTCTAAGGAGATTCTTGGATTAATTTGACCGTCGTTTGGATTACAATGAGCAGAAGAAGCTGTAGTTTCGCGAAATCGGGTGTCAGGAAACAAATGCTCCGTGTGAACATGACCGAAAAGCACGCGCGCCTCCGAAAATCTCGCTTCTGGAGCGAGATTTTTCTGAAACCTCACTGAGACCTGCTAATCAAAAACGCGGATGCAAGAGTGACCAGCTTCGCAGCAGCGCGCCCAAGCCGTCGCAAGAGGCCTAAAAGCCGGTCTTGTCTCAGTCGGTCCTACTCGGTGACCAGTGTGTGAACGGACCTTTAGCAGTACGGGTTGGGGTAGTTGTTGGTGGCGCGGTGCAGATTTCTTAAGAGTTTTCACGAGTGCAAGCACTGCATATAAACATGATGACTGGGTATAAAACCGTATAATTGATCTTTTAGCGGTGCAAAAATGTTCGAAATACTCCGAGATCATCTCCCTGTTCTTTGACGTTAGCGGTCTTTCCCCAGTTTGGCAGGCCTACTGAATCGAGGGGGCGGAATCCGACGAAATTTATCGAGTGGTATTAATAAGGCAGACTGCCTCTTCACGCTGTGCATACTTCATATAATTTTGATGCGAAACGCCTGAAATTCCTAGTGTACATGACAAGGCTCGGCGAAATTCTCGTCGTGAGTCAATACCGTCACAGGTTTTTCGCGTCAAACTCAACGTGTGAACGGGCCGATTTCGCGGAATCTCGGTTTCGCTAAACCGTTGCGCGTTGAAAACACGCGTCGTGTGAATAAACCTTTACATCGAAGGGACTGCTCCAGGACACCGACAGTGGACGCACAGCTGAGCAACTGTAGAAGCCCAGCCACGGAGGGGCACGCAAGATATGCCCCACACGATCGAGGCTCCGAGAGTAAGGCCCACCATAGTGGAGATAAAAAAAAAAAAAAAAAGCTCGAGGTGCACCTAAGCATTTCTTATGAGTTGTGAATGCGAGAGCAAGCAAGCCGCTCGTCCGCTCCCTTTGTCGTCTGCTGCGTACTAGCGCGCGCACGCTTCGGGATCTCGGAGGCCGCGGAACCTAGGAGCCGTTTTCGCGCTTCCTTCAAACTGATGACGTCAGCTCGCTCCATGCAACACCTCCTAGATAGCTTTCAAGCCTGCGCGTCACGTGACATGACGTCACGTCCGGGAGGCCGGCACGGGCTCTGATTGGATGCGAGTGCCGCGTCAGCGTTCGCGTGGGACCATGATAGAAAACGAGCCCCCCGGCGACCACCGACGCGGCACTCGCATCCAATCAGCGCCCCTGCAGGCCTCCGGAACGTGACGTCATGTCACGTGACGCGCAGGCTTGAAAGCTATCTAGATGTTGTTGCTCCATAAAACAGTTAATGCTTTCGCATTAAAAAGTCCCGTGTGCATGCATAACACTTTTCACGACTCCCGTGGGCCATATCCAGAAGAACGCTTGGACCTTCAATAGGGAGTATTCACTGGCGGCCATATCTGTGTGCGCGAACTCTGAGCGCGTGCTGATGGCGAGCTTCCACAGTTATTTTTCAACGTGCATTCCGCACCATCGAGAGTGCCGGTCTTAGCAGCCTATTGATGTGAGTTAGTTCTGAGCATGCGCTCTAAACAGCACCCACAAATATGGCGTCCAGTGAATACTCCCTACAGGTGCCTTTGAGCGCCTGCTAACCTTGATTTTTTTTTTTTTTTTAAATGGGGAAACTTAAACCATCGAAAGCGTTTTCAATTTAATAACGGACGCCTCCTGTGTCCATTGGTCGTAAGTGCGCACGCGCTGCGTTGTCGGGTGGCGAGAAGAAAAGCGGACAGAAAGGCTGAAATGCTTGAAGACGATAAACGCTTTTGTCACCTCCTCGCTCCTCGTGTTGCGAACACTGCCCATAAACCAAGTGACGTCGATCCAGCAGTTGGAAACTGTGAAATATAGGCTCCCTGTAGTCGGTGAGCGGTTAAGAGTTCAGGGGAAGCTCCTCCCACCTATTTCCACTTTAGCAGAGCGATCGCTAGAGAGGAAACGACCTCCTCTACAGCGTTTGCTCTACTAAAGTAGAGAAAGGTTTGAGGAGCTTCGTTCCCCGGCACCTGGTAGGCGTATCCCGTATGGGCGAAGAAAAAAATAATAAAACATATCAACCTGCAAATAGCAAAAAAAAAAAAAAAAAGCCTTTCCACTCTGGTGAAGAAGGAAGAGTAGCCGAGCTGGTAGCTTCTGTTCTCGGCGGTGGCTTTCCAGGCGAGCGATCTGCTCTTCTTTCGCAAGGGAATCTGAAGCGCTCGACTCAGTGGCACGTTAGGCGATAGCGGCTTCGCGGCGGTTGCGGAACCATTCGCCGCTCGTTCCATTCCCGCTCTTCTTCCTCCGACGAAAGTTTGCCGCCATCTATAAGCGACGGCGGCAACCAGTTGTCTGGTTGCCGCCGTCGCTCATAGATCGCGGTAGCTGTCCAGAGTTCGGTGTTATCATTTTTAATCCGGCGGACACGATCCTGGGGAAACTAGCCCTTAACAGCTCCGCTGTAAAAGAAAAAAAAAAAAAAAGAGAGAAGACAAAACGAGAATGGGTGATGGTGACATTTATATCCTATTGGCGTGGCGATGACAAAACAGTGTTTTCTCCCATACTGGAATTAACGATATTTCAAAATGCCGGCGACCTCGTGAAATAGATATATAGTGACGGAAGACAGCTGTCAATATCGGTGTTGTTGCAAACAAACTGACTCGTATGACATCCGAACTTAGAACCGTTAAAGTATCATTAATGAAAGAGCGATTGAAACAAAACAGCACAAAAGGTGTTTTGTAGCTGTCGAAGAAATGTGGTTGTAAAGTCGTCCCATTCATTTTGGAATTATAATGCGTTATTTTTGTGCGCTAGTAATTCTGATTGTAATTAACTACTTTTGGGGCAAAGTATTTCAAATCGCAATAAAATTCCGTTCACAAAGGAACTTTCCAAGTGTGCCTGTCCGTTCTCCGACCAGTTCTTCTCTCGTACAGGAAGCACCGCCAAGCTCCTGGCTGTCGAGATCGAGCCCTGCGACTCAGACCCCTGCGTCTTCAAGAGGGGAACGGACACCAAGATTTACTTTGAGATGATCTCCGGTGAGTCACTCATTTCCGCTAGCTTTTAAAAAATCCAGGCGCGGCAACACAAGTAAAATAAAGGGGGAAAAAAACATATTTTAGGGCTGTTTTTTGTTCGGAAACAATGGTTTAGCTTGTTTCAATCCACTACTGATGGTCCTGTTAAGTTAAGAACGTTTGCCGATGACTGCGTTATTTACACTCCTGTTTCTACAATATTGGACCAAATAAAAGTCAGGGATGTTTTGGCTAGGATCGCGTCTTTGTGTGATGAGAATAACATGAAGATTAATATTAGTAAAACTCAATACATCCATATTTCAACCAAACAGAAATATCTTAAACTTTGTTATTGAGGTTTACGGCGTACAGCTGACGAAAGTTGACAATTATAAATATTGGGGAGTGATTTTATCGAGTGACCTAGGATGGAAAAAGTATGTGGAGTATGTAACAAACAAATTGTGGTACCTGAGAAGAACGCTTGGCAAATCTCCTCATTCTGTGAAAATTCTTGCATATAAATCAATCATTAGACCTGTCGTAGACCCGTTGCAGCAGGGATGGTCAAAATACATTCAAATATGTATCGCAATACAAGTACAAAATACTTCGTCAAAAATGTATTTAAAGGGGCCGTGAAACAAATTTTGGGTTGGGATGAATGATTTTAAATTGGGACTTTACTAATCGCATATCGTTTAGTTTCCTAAAAGAAAGAGGCTAGAAAGTCAAAAGCCAGCTTTTTGGCGCGAACGTTTGAAAATATAGCGGACTATTTTGTACCTTCTTGCCTCCGAAAGCTCTCCGCCTTTTCATTATGATACATCCGCGGTTCCAAAAGCGCGTCATCGGCGCCAAACGGACGTCAGCGGAGCCCAGCTCACGCATTGGACACGAGAACTGCGTCACTTGGACGTACGCTCTCGTCAACAATCAATCCGTCGACGAATATTTGGGTTCGCGTTCGTGGCCAATGAGTGCCCTGACGGAATTCATCGTCACTGGGGAATGACAAGTTCTATATATCAGTATTAATTGGGGGGCTAGTTGGTTGAACATCTAGACGGTGGTTTTAACAGCGCAAAGGACTAAGAAGAGAAGGAGGGGACAGGACAGAGCGCTTTCCTTCTTCTATGATGTGCATAAAAAGCACGGTGGAACCTAGGAGTCATCGCACCGGTGCCGAAGGAATGTCACGACCACGTGATTTCACAATTCGCATTTGAGTGTAGGATTAAAGCTAAGGAGGAAGAAGTAGAAAAATCGTTTCAAGACAGCTTAAATTACAAATCTAATTACATTTCCAAAAAAAGCATTTAAGTACAAGATACAAATACAACCAAATATATTTGGTCTCCTCCAAATACTTTTCCAAATACATTCCTCAAAATTTGCGTCAGCGACTTCAGGGCACCTGCAACGGGTTTCTGGGTATCTCATTTTAATTTTGCATCGCACGCTCGGGAGTTAGTGTGCGAGGCTCTAGTAACGTAATAGAAACATAATCACAAAAAAATATACAATCAGCTTGGACGTAATAGGTTAAAAAAGTACAGAGCTTCAAGCAGCTTTTTTTGTCGATTACATTTTGGTATAGACCAACAAAGAACCGAGACGACCAAGACGCGCAGCACTAGCTAGAGAATTTTTTATTGTTGTAACTCGCACCAATTACGAAAATCTGGACGACCCGCACATTTAGAATGTTCCAGGCAAAAATATGAATGGAAATCAGGCTTGAAAGCATCACAAGTTGTCACAGGCACTTATTTAGCCAGTCTGCCTGTGAACGTCGATTTCGTCACTATTCTTGGACTGGACAAGCACCGTAATCACAAGGTCACTAAACGCTTGTGCTTGACTGAGAGACACTGCATTTGGTGCAGAATGTAGTTTTCTTCCTGCTCTGGACAGTGACAATAAATTTAAGGGAAGTATTTTCGCCCACAAAATTGTATTTAATTACAATTGTATTTGAGATACTTGCGTTTTAGTATTTAAATACACACGTCAAATACATTACTCAATTTGTAATTAAATATAAATGCAAAATACACAAAGTATTTGAAATACGTATTGCAAATACTTGTACTTGAAATACTGCCCATCGCTGGTCTGCAGTGTCAAGCCTAAAGAAGAACGCTCTGGTCAAAGAACTCGAAGATGTCCAATCACTAGCGGTATAATATTTTCAGATTTCAGACGAACCACGTCTGTCATGGGACTTAAGACGAGAGACAATATAAATCCTTTGGCAAACAGAAGAGCGTGCCAACTGGTCAAGTTGTTCTTTCAGAATTTCAAGAACAGTATAAAAATTGATAGCTGGAAATATTCATAACTAAGAGGCTTCTGCTCCGAAAGTTCGCATCACTCAATGACCGTATACCTCCCATTAATGCCCGAATAAGCAGTTGTTAACATTTTTTTTGTGCGTGCAATTGATTTATGGAGCAGTCTTTCCGGTGATGTCGTTGACATTGATTCATTCTCGACTTTCGAGAAAGCTTCAGAGATAATTTCTTCAGTGCTAGGAATGCTTTTGATTACTGTTTAATTATGAAGTTCAATGAAAACAGATGTGTGAGGCTTATTATTTTATATGTATATTACTATATCAAATGTAAAAAAAGGGGGAGAGGGGGGCGGGGGCAAAGGTTTCGTGCATGGACTGTATAGGAAGATGATTGTGTTGTTTTGTATATTTTGTTTATACGACATTCCGATGTCAGTGTGCCAATTGAAAATGTATCACCCATGCACTCCTGCCGTGGCCCTAAGCTGGGCTGGCAGTATTGATAAATCAAATAAGAGTACAGGAGATCGTCGGTGAGAAAGCCTTCGGAAACTAAAAATATAGAAATAAAATAAAACACGGGCAAACGAACGCGAATTGCGCCGCTTTGTTTGGTCGCCATTCAAATTTCTCGTCGTTAATAGACGGTAGGAACTGTTCCACCCTCGTCAACGCTGCAGTGCCAGCGAGAAAAAAAGCCGTTAACAACGGGCCAACTATAACGGGACGGCTAGAAAGAGACGGTTCATAGCCGGCCTTTTAGACGCGGCCTCAGATGAAGGGTGCACCGCGAGATGAGTCTTCTTTCTGCTTGCAGATCAGAACAGCGACACGGTCACCCTGGACGTCAGGGTGAAGATGTTCGGTTTCGACATGCCCGTCCCCGGCATCGAGACGGACCTGTGCAACGGCGTCATCAAGTGCCCCGTGGTCAAGGGGCAAACCTACAAGGGAACCATCATCTTTCCTGTGCGCGCAGCTTCGCCCCAGGTGAGTGACGTCACGCTACCTCTCGTATGTCGTCCTCGCAGTGAGCGCGCGGGAGTTATCGACACCACCTACGATATGTATAGACCTTTTTCGCTTACTCTCGTCCCAAGCCACCTGGAAGGCATATCCGGTATGGGGGACAAAAAACTAATGAAGCATTTCAACCTGCAAATAGTAAGAAAATTAGAGCGGAGACAAAACGAGAATGTGTGACGGTCAAGGCCTGTTCACACTCTTGCGACCGACTACGACTGAGAGAGTCGAGATGGTCGAGATCTCTTAAAACTTCTTAAATGTTTTTAGAATGAGGGCACACGCTGGCATTGTGGCGCCATCAATGCGGTGACCCTGGAACTGCATTTCACAAGAGCGAAGGTTTCGCGGGATTTCCGAAGTCAAATGTGCGTAATACCCATAGAAAGGCTCGTTTATAACATTGACAAAAGATTTCCGAGCCAAAAAAAAAAAAAAGGATAATGCGCGAGAAATAAAAAAAAAATATGCCGGACCGCCGAATTTACACTGCTCCCCAATAGATGGCGCCAGCGTGTTTTCTGGTTTAAGAAGTTTTAAGGAACCCAGGTTTAAGAGGTCGCAAGAGTGTGAACGGGCCTTTGGGCTTATAACTGAAAATGCAAGTTTTCTTGCATTTTCTCTATCTATCTACAATCTACAATCTACAAGGTGCCCCCCCTCCCCCCCCCCCCCCCAAAAAAAAAAATAAAATAAAAAAAACATCGCTTTTTATTTTTTTGATTTTTTGCAAAAATAAATCATGTATCGTCGAACGCTCATTCTCTGGCAAAATGTAGCGCTAGAGGTGCGAACCAGATGCTAAAGTTTCAGCACTAACCGTTTTCTTATTCAAAAGCTATACTGATTTTCTGATATTTTCCACGGTAAAATTGGGCCCATTTTTGCCCGTTTTCGGTAACTGGCGCCCATAGAGCTCCATGTATTCGAGAGCTCCGTTGTCAGTCAATTTTCCCATCAAAAATTGCAGAAAATCACTTATAGACTTATTTCGAAAGTCACGTGCTGATTATTAGAAGGTCGGAACTACCGCACAATGGCGGAACAACTGCATCGAGGAACGTGCGAGTCATTCCATAAAATGGCGAACGTCGGAGCGCGGCGAACACTACGAGCAGACGAGCCAATCAAAACCGCGTAAAAAGTGCAACGTCACTGCGCTCATCAGCTTTTTCCCGGTGTTTTTTTTTCGAGTGTGCCGTGACGTTGAGGTGTTAGTCCGCCATTGTGCGGGGATCGCACAGCTGCCAGCAGTGGGCAGTATTTCAAAAAGGGTCTATAACTTTCGACCAGGATAACGGTTAGTTGTGAAGCTTTGGAATCTGGTTCGTACCTCTAGCGCTACATTTGGGCCGAGAATGCGGGTTCAACAATCTGTAATGTATTTTTGCAAAAAAAAAATAAAAAAATAAAAAAATAACTTTTTTTATGGGGGAAAGGGGGGGGGGGGGTATAAGGTGTTTTCTTCCCACCCATATTCTCACGCCGAATCTATACTCCGTTTCAATGTGAGTTCGACCGCAGTCAACGGTACGGCCCGAAGGAGCCGATCAAACAGCGCCAAAAGTGCATAATCACGGCGCTCGGTGATGCTTATTTTTTTATACGTTGTAACCGGCTAAAGCAGTCACGCGCGGGAAAAAACGCAGGATTTCGGCGCCTTCGTTGCGCATGATTGGCCAAGTCGGTAAAGGGGTATCCACACGAAGGAGAAATCCGCCCCTTTCCTCCGCGGATCGCGCATCACGTGAGACATACGTCATCCCTTTTTGACGCCTCGCGGCGCCGTTCTCCTCCGTGGCGGAGGCGCGGAGGGTTCGTATTTTAGCATGAGAGCTTCGCAGGTGCACGCGGCGGAGCCGGGGACGGAGTTTCCCGGGATGTTGACGTCACAACATCCGTCCGCGGAGTTCTCCTTCGTGTGGATACCCCTTAAGGAGCGCCGCGAGGACATTAATTGGCTCCATCGGATCCGTCGGCTGCGATAGAACTCGAAGTGAAAAAAAGCATAAGCTGGGCGCTTCTTTTGCCAGGGGTTGGGGTGACGTCAGGACGCCGAGCTTTGACTGATTGGAAGCATCGCGGGTCGATCTCAAAGCAAGCTGCCTCAAAGTCTACCGACTATCCTTCAATCAGAGTCAATCAGAGCTCGGTGTCTTTATGACGTCACCGCTGCCCCTGCAGAAAGAAGCAGACGAACCCGCGCTGTTTCCAAGCGAGCCTCCACGAGGTGTGGGCTAGAGCCACTAAATGAGCTGCGCTTAGAGTATCGGCCTTCCGTTCCCCGAGATTGTTGTGGGCGCCGCCATTTTGGCTCATATGCAGAGCAGACGCAACTGCCGATCGTCATGATTCAAAAGTGCGACTTCCTCAACGTTAGGTTCGGTGTTAGAAAGGCCCTGTAACATTCCTTTGCTCCGTCGCGAACTGTTTAAACATTTGTGGAAGGCGGAAAAGCGTTTCCTGGGAATTCAAATAAAGCTTCAGATAAGTGGCAACCATGATTTTAAAACACATTATGGCCGAGTGTCGTTACTCTGAAGCGTAGCTTCTTTAGTGGCACTATAGTCAGTTGCAAGCTAAGAAAAAACCGGAAATGCCTCTCAGAGGAAAATGTAATCCTACGCCGAGAAACGCCAGCCAATTGTTTTCATGACGTCACGATTCTGTGGACCAATCGCGATCCTTTTGAAAAAAAAAAAAAGCTCAACATGGCTGCTGGCCTTAGCAACGCGATGCTATAATTTCTCGTGACAATTATTCTGCTTTTTTGCACCGTGTTTTACGTGCCCGAGGTTACGCCACGAAATCTTGATGGTATCGGCTTGCGTTTGCAGCAGTTTTTGCGCGACAACGTGAGAATCCAGCGACGCTATCGCCAACGAAAATTTCGAAGCGCGCGCGAGGCTTAGCACTGCTGAGAGGTATGTTAGACAGTATGTTAGACAGTATCTTGGACATAAAATGAATTGGGAAGACGGTACATTGGACATGAATTTCTTTCTTTCTTTACTAAACAGCTATTTCGTTGAAAAAACGTATTCTAACTTATTTAAATGTCCTGATTGAATTAAATAAATATTGTAGTAGTTTAAGACAGGTTTCTTGGAGGAAGAAAAAGCAACGTTGCTAGCGAACTACTTTCTCGACGGCGGAGGCACTTCAGATGGGCGCAATGCGCTTGTGGGTGCAGCTAAAAGATTGTTCTTAGGTTGCATCCGACTATAGTGTGGGCAAACGCGCAGTTCCTGCACGAGGAGTGTGCACGTGCGCGTGCGCGGGAACCAGAGTCGCGTGAAGTGGACCGTCTGCGCACGCGCGCCTGGCGCGCCACTGCAGCGGGGCGTGTCTGCTGTGTTCTATTAGCGCCGCCATGTTTGTTTACGCTGACGCCATGACACAGTAGAAGGCCTGCGCTTTTGGCAAGACTCCGGATGTTTTTTTTTTGTTTTTTTTAGAAGTTCTTGCGCATGTTGTAGTGAAAAACGTCAGAAATGCACACGAAGCTCTAAAAACAACGTCGATGTCAAGAGCGCCGTGAAAAAGCAGAAATCTAGTTTTATGCGCAGTCCCTTTCTTCGCGAGAGCCCGCGTCTGAGGTTATTTTCCATTTTTATCTCTGGAGGCTGCGATTTCGGACACTAGACTATATATCCTTGAATGATGACAACCACCGTCGTTCTTCTTTTTCCACTCAGATGAAGAGCGTCGTCACGCTCAAGGTTTTAGGGGAGCACGGAACCAGCGTCTGCACCAAGACCGACATCCTCGTCCAATGACCTCCCAACCCTGTCAAGAAGGGATGGCCCCGCGGTGGCTAGTCCTTTCGCAGCGGCGCTCATTTTCAAAATCGTCCGAGTCCTCAGAGGCACTTTGAACGAAAGAAAAGGAAACGACTACTGAGAAGAGTGCGTCGGGAGAAACATACTGCGCTGCTGGTTAAACCCCAATACTCTTTGATACTGCCAATAAAGCTACGTAAAACCTGAAAGAAAGACGTTTCATTTCAGATGGTCACTCCAGTTCTTCGATCGCGTTCGTTTCATTTTATTAGTTGTCTTTTTAATAACTAAAAGTGCCGCAGATCTCGCGAAGGGATTTTCAGTATGGGGGATCGGTGGCCGAGTGGTCTAGCGCACACCAGCTCGGAGCACGTGGAGCGAAAGCTCGCGCTGCAGAACCCAGGGATCCTGGGTTCGAGCCCCACCCCTGCCCGTTTCGATCTGGATGAGCATCGTACCGGCGTGCGGTCGTGTACCACTACTGCGTGGTGCACGTTAAAGACCCCAGGCTAGCGGCTGTACTGCGCTGGCTAAATTGCTCATCTATACAGCTGGGAGACTCGTCGCCCCTGTGAGGCAGACCAAGTTCTAGGCTGTATAAACATACACACAACCCAATTTTTTTTTTTTATTTTCAGTATGAAATCGTTTTGGAGGCGTTCATCGCCTCGATTAAACTCCAGTAACCAGACACAATCCGCTGAAGCGCTGTTTAAAGACCTGTGTACACCGTTACCTCGGCGTCATGAGTCAGCAAATAGCGGTGATCTTACAGTTGAAAACGAGCGTGTTGGTTAATAGATACAAAACTTGAAAGTATAAAACAGAGAGGACGAGGACGGGAACAGGACATCTTTCATTTAGCAACAACATAGAATGGCACAACGATAAAACCGCCCCCCAAGGGTCTCAACGTTCTCAAAGAGGGAAAGGAAATACTAGTTATAAAGGAAAGGGAATACACTAAAAGAAAAGTTTAAAAAGCGCATCAGTAATCTAGTTATTTTCGGTTACTTAGAATTAACCTTGGTCATTGTCAGTGATAATGCGGAATTATTCTTGTATGCAGTCCAAAAAGGGGAATTGTACTATAAATATAAAAGTTTAAAAAGCTGTAGCGTCACGACGAGGTGTCAATATTCTAGTCATCTCTGGTGTTAAGAATTCGACCTCTGTCTTTGTCAATGATAATGAAGGTGCAGAAATGTTGTTGTTAACAGTCCCCATGGCAAATGACTCGATGATTTCTCTCCCAAATCTGTTATTGTGCCCGCCCAGTATACTAGTATTAGAAAAATGAGGTGTACAGTCATCGCATGTGCGGCTGTGAACGACAATGGGGTGATACGACTCAGTTGAAGCCTTTGATGCTTCCAAGTTATGTTCTCTGAGTCGGTGGTTGACGCATCTCCCAGTCTGTCCAATGTACTGACTGCCACAGCTTAGTGGAATTGAATAAACCTTCTTTTCTTCGCATTCTACGAACTTTTTTGCATGTTTTACATTGCACCCTCGGGGTCTGTCGCTCCCATTAACCTTTTTGCACATCTGTTTGAGGCGCATACGACAAGAAAAAACCACCCTCGTGTCAAACTTGGACGCGATAGACCTTAAACGGTGCGCGGAATTGTGCATGTAGGGAATCACAGCGAAACGACCTTTCTTTTTTGAAACAACTGGCGGAAGTTGTGGTTTGATAATGAACCTCTCAAGGGTGGAGCGAAGTAGGTCAGCAGGAAAGCCTGCTTTTTCTAACCTCTGCTGCTGCAACTTAAGGCTACTTTCCGAGAAATGCTTGCACGACTTGGAGAATGAGGACTTGAAAAGTGACCTTACTATTCCATGCTTAACGAACTTGGAGTGAGCACTGGTGAAAGGGAGGACTGGCTTCTCCGACCTCTGCTGGAAGGCCCAACAAACACCTGAGGAATGAGGATGCAATCGCAAATCCAGAAATTGTAATCCTTCCACTGAAGGATTTTCCCGGGTAAAAGTAAGCCCTGCCGCACAGTCTTTGAAAACTTCAAAGATGCTGTCAGCGGACGCAGCGTCTGGATAAATGACCAAGTAATCGTCAACATACCTAAAAACTAGGCAACCCTGGAAGGACTTTTTCAACTGATCGTTGATAGCCCTGTCAACAAAGAGAAGAAATATTTCACTAAGGACAGGTGCAAGGCAAGAGCCTATACAAACTCCCTTCTTTTGTCTGTAAATATTTCCTTCGTATTCTACCAAAGTGGACTGTAAATAAATATCTATCAGGTCGATGAAGCCCTCAACCGAAACACCGGAGGAATTTTGAAAGTCGCATATTCCGTGTTCATGGATTGCATTAGTCGCAGAATCTAAGATGAGTTTTGGTTCTAGGCTGTAATACATATCTTCAATGTCGAAAGACATAACTGAGTGCGGGATGGAACAAAAATGAAGCGAATCGAAGCGGGGGATTTCCGCTCAGAGAACATAACTTGGAAGCATCAAAGGCTTCAACTGAGTCGTATCACCCCATTGTCGTTCACAGCCGCACATGCGATGACTGTACACCTCATTTTTCTAATACTAGTATACTGGCCGGGCACAATAACAGATTTGGGAGAGAAATCATCGAGTCATTTGCCATGGGGACTGTTAACAACAACATTTCTGCACCTTCATTATCATTGACAAAGACAGAGGTCGAATTCTTAACACCAGAGATGACTAGAATATTGACACCTCGTCGTGACGCTACAGCTTTTTAAACTTTTATATTTATAGTACAATTCCCCTTTTTGGACTGCATACAAGAATAATTCCGCATTATCACTGACAATGACCAAGGTTAATTCTAAGTAACCGAAAATAACTAGATTACTGATGCGCTTTTTAAACTTTTCTTTTAGTGTATTCCCTTTCCTTTATAACTAGTATTTCCTTTCCCTCTTTGAGAACGTTGAGACCCTTGGGGGGCGGTTTTATCGTTGTGCCATTCTATGTTGTTGCTAAATAAAAGATGTCCTGTTCCCGTCCTCGTCCTCTCTGTTTTATACTTTCAAGTTTTGTATCGGTGATCTTACATTATGCAGAGCTAACTTCACGCTACAATAGTGATGCACCGCCGATGTAGCGGCATCAGGGTTGTGGGATGCATTGAATTCCAGCAACGCATCAGCGGTGTTTCTTGTTGGGGATCGCTGCGATGTGTTTCTGCTTTCAAAAATACCTGAAAATACGCTGTTCGAACTAAAAAGAAATTCTGCGCGAACAAACTTCCAGCCTTGGCGGGCGTCAAGGATTGCAGGACCATACTAATTAGCGAGATAATTAACTAAACCTGACTCATTAATGTTTTTGATACTGAAAATAAACATGTGATTTCACTAAGAAACTTTCTAACCATCATTGAAAACCACTAGATCCATCCTTTTTAGAGAGAGATATAAGGCAGCTGGGGCAGCATTTTACGGCGTTCCGTAAAAAACAGTTTTGCTGCGTTCAGTGGGTTTCGGTTTTTTACCGGAGCGCATCTCTGCGCCCGCGGTCCTGCTCCTCAGTGGCCGAGACGTGCAACACGCGTGCGCCATACTTCCCTGTCCTCCGTCGAGGGAGGCGAGGCGGTGGCTTCGCGCTGCGACCACCGCGGAACAGGGCCACGGGCGCAAAGATGCGCTGACACCGAAACCTAGGAACGCGTCCAAACTAAGCAGGTTTTTTGCTGTTGTTGTTGTTCTTTTCTTTAGAACGTCGTAAAATGTTGCCCATGTCACGCGCGTTGGCGAGCGAGCGCGTGCGTGGCCGAGTGGTTACCGCGCTTGACTTTCGCGCGGAGGCCCATTCGATTTCTGGGAGCGACGCGTCTTTTATTTATTCTTCCAATTCAGATTTCTGGTAAATTCGAGAACCCTGTTGCATGTTCGAGGTCCGAATGTTCTACGCACCCAAGCGTCTACGCCGATTGTTCCAGAATCCCACACTTGTACATTTATGGCTCAGCGTGGCGAGCCGCAGTCAGTCTCGCGCCCCCCCCCCCCCCGCCTTGTTCGACCCTGCTGTTACGCCGACTTCTACGCCCACGACGCTTTATGGTTCTCTTCTTTTTCTTTTTTGTTTTGCACACAAGTTCGCCCCATTAAACGTTTAGTTTGTTTCAGTTTTTGACGCCTTATCCATTCTTATTTGTGACAATATATTTCTAGAAAGAGTTGGTTAAGTAGCTTTCGATGATGCTTGGCAAGTTTCTCAGTAGAACCAGATGTCTATTTTCACTAATAGACCGATCTCACCAAGCGTTCGGCGCATGCGTGACGCCGCCATAACTTTAGTTCGCAGGAGGCAGGCAGCAGTGCACAAGACGGCTCGTGCCGCCTCATGCTCCACACGCGCAGAGCTCCAGTGAGGTTGTCGCACGTGCAGAAAGACTGAAGCTCCCTCGATGGATTTCGGCAGCGGTGGCGTAGTCAAACTGGCTGGTGAGATGGGTCTATTGAAAACTTGATTAGTAAATTTTAGTTCATTATCTTGCTAATTAATGTTTTTGTAATCTTTGACGTCTGCCAAAGCTGGTAGCTTGTTCCCGCAGAGAGTTTTCTTTTTCTTTTCATCTCGAACAGCAGATTTTTAGGGTATTTTTGAACGCTTTCCCAGAAACACGCTGTATACATATGTTGCAGGCAAAAAGAACTTCTTAAATTTGATAATGATCGCAGGAATCGGTGGAGTCATTACCTCCGAAATAAGTGGCGCAGGTACACAAGCAGCACTTCTTTTTTTTTTTAATTAGAATATATAAAACAAACAGGCCTTTGGAAAAGTTGGGCTTAATAAGACACGGCGAACGGTGTGCCTCGAAACGAGTCACCGCGAGATCCGTGCTTCGAATGCCGCATGGCAATGAGTTCAAGGAGAAAACCTGGCAAGCGGCATTCGAACCGCGGATGTTGCGGTGGCCCGTGTTTGCATGCTGTCTTTTGTACGATGTAAGAGCCGTCTGAGCCCGGCTCAAGGGGGCTGCAGGCCCGGGCCCCCGGATGTCAGTGGGCCCTAGCTAGCGTTCTCGTTCCCTTCCGCTTCTTTCGACAGAGGATGCCATAAAGTTCCCGCCTTCAGACGAGCTGTCTTTTTACAAGAATGCCGAGCAACAGAATGTTAACGCGTCCTCCCATCTTCCTCGTCGGTGGGGGTAAATGTGCCGACGCTGGCGGTCCCTTTAAAATGTCTTCGAATTGAA